AGGGTTATAAACATATACTTACTCGTCATATTTTATATACTTGTCAGAAAAATAGGCATTAGCAGAAGAGTACCTGTAGTTTTCCAGAAAATGAGGCCTGTAAGAGGGTTAGAAATTGATCGGTTGTTAAAGAGGACATGCTAATTAAACTAAAAAGACGCTTAAGTAGCTATTTATAAGCTTCTTTTCGATTAACAAACTTAAGGTACCTGAAATATTTGTTTGTTTTAACCCCCATCCACCCTTTTCAATTGAAAGAGCCATAGCTGCCTTGCCGACGACACGGCCGACTCGAGAATTTAAAAGGAAATCATCCGTTTCTATTTATAGACATTCCTATTCAATTCAAAGCCAACGTATATAATATCATTTGTGGACGTGGTATATTTTCTTAAGTGCAAGTATAACATATAAAAGACATTTACATGCTCATTACTCTAATTTCGAGACAAAAGGTTAAGAAAATCTTTAACAATAAAAGAAAGAGGTATTAATTTGTAAAATTTAATAAAATAGTTTAGACTGTTTTTCCCGAGATACTTTCAAAGTGTAACGTGTATATTTAAACTTTTCGAAATTGTGTTCAATATAAATTTAAAAAAAAAAAAAAACGTAGAAAAGAAACGAAAAAAAAAAAAAAATCAAAATAATGGTCTGGATCTCGGAATCATAAGATTTTCAGTCCAGCGATTATACCCCTCGACGAACAGAGTTTTGACGCTGTTTACGGAGACTAAAGAAAATAAAGACAAGCATGCCATATATGGTTGTATAGATAAATTATCGTAGAAAACATAGGTATAAACAGTTTGTCAGTGTATTTCCTCTGAAAGTGTAAATGAGTGCGATTCTGGGGGAGGGGGGTACTCCGTGTAATTCGGAGTTGGATACCTTGTGTTATTATTATACTATGGGTTAAAAAAATTATTACCGAAACAAGTTCCTGTGATGAGACCTTAAAAACCGAGGCCCCGTGTCACGGCAGGCGTTGGCACAATAAAGAACCCTCAATGCCCTGAGTGCCAAGCAAAGGTCTAAATTTGAAGCCCTTCACCGCTATATGGTGACGGCACTATATGAGAGAAAAATTCTTGAACGGGACGTAAGGCAATATACAATCAATCAATCAAGTGCGCCCAGATTCCTACTGAATCCAAATCAAACGCGTCCTCATTCTTTACGCAAGGACAATTTTTTTCACGTTCTCCTATTCTTATTACCGTCACGGTAGCTCAGTCGGTAGAGTGCTCGCTCCGTGATCGGAAGGTCGTGTGTTCGAGCCCCGGCCGCGACTGACCTAAGTCGACAAAAAGAGGTAGCAACTGTTCCTTCGCCAAGCGCTCGGCACTTTTAAGTGAAAGTTGTGGGTCCTTCGGATGAGACCTTAAAAAAACCCGAGACCCCGTGTCACGGCAGGCGTTGGCACGATAAAGAACCCTCACTGCTAAATGGCCCTAGGTGCCGAGAAAAGTTCTAAATTTGAAGCCCTTCACTGGTATATGGTGACGTCTCTATACGAGTGAAAAATTCTCGAACGGGACGTAAAACAACATACATGTGCAATCAATCTATCTTATTCTTATTAAATCGATATATTACAATATTGATGAGGCTTACTTGTTCTTCCTCTCCGGTCAAGACAGTTTCGATTCAGAATCTGATGTAAATCTCAGGCAGAAAGCTTGTGTATTTTCATTTCCTTTGCAGGAAATACACAATGTTTAATACGACAATTATTTCCGCCCGTCTATTAGTTTATAAAACGTTCATGACACTTAATTTTTTCTTTTCTTTCTTTTTTTTTTAAACAATATACTGGCCTTGCCTGTCTGATATTCGCGATTTTTCCTACGATAGAGACAGGCAATACCAGTCTACTCAAAGAATACCGTAATATTACCCGCATACCGTCATGCTGTTTTGAAAATTTACAAAATTATCTAAGTATCACAATACCTGTGCGTTTTCATACCGCTTTGAGAATTCATCAAGCATACAAAATAGGATAACTTATTAAATGTGTATCATATTTAAACACTAGAGATGCAAATAAGTAATTGTCAACTGAAATTTGTCATATCACTGCTTTTTGAAGCCAAGCTAAAATAATGAAAAAGTATCAATTTGAAATAATTTTCAACTTATATATTTAAGTTAAGTTTGAGAGATGATAATGTTAACATATGGATTTTACACATTTAATATAAGATTTATTTCTAGTTTATATGTAGAAACAAGAGGCCCATGAGCCACAACGCTCACCTGAATCAATGTGGCCCTGCTGTTCTTCATCATCAGATTTTACCCCTATATTCCTATGTAAAACTTTAATCACTTATTGTGGCCCCATCATCTCCCAAGGGGTCATTAATTGAACAACCTTGAGAATGCTAGCTTATAAATATGACTAATCATGATCTTGATGTTCTTGAAAAGAAGATTTTTAAAGATTTTTTCTTTGAAAAACTTTGATCGCCCATAGTGGCTCAAACTTACCCCAGAGGGTAACGGTTTGTAAAAATTTGAATCTTCAGTAGCTGAGGATGCACCCATACATGTATATATATGACTAATCACTTTATTCTTTGTTCTTGAGAAAAAAAAAAGATTTTAAAAGATTTTTTTCTATACATTCCTATGTTAAACTTTTATCGCGCACTGTGTCACCATCTACCTCTGTGGGGATGATTTGAACAAATCTGAATCTACACTACATATCTGCAGATAAATCCATAGTAATATGACTAATCAAGCCCGTAGAACATGGGGGGTTGGGGGGGGGGCTTCCCAACATTTTTCTGTGTATGGTCTTTTGCTATAGTTTTAATATGTAAATTTTGATTTAGATGCTGGTCCCCCACTTTCGCTCTAAGGTCGAACACAGGCAAATTCCATTATTTGAAAAAAAAAAGTACCAAAAAGTTAGAGGAAGACCCCCCACCCCCACCCCCCACCCCCCTCCACAAACACAAAATAGGATTTTCGACTTTGGACAGCTAGGCTTTTTTGGGAGCCTTTGGCTCAGGTGAGTCAATAAAAGATGTACCGGAATTACTATCTCATCCCCATTTTATTTTCGATTAAGGATTAAAGAATCTTTAGGTGGTTTACATCTTTACCTGTTTATATTTACATTCTAATAAGCACCAGTTTTTAGTTTGAGTTCGGGGAGGTGGGGGTGGGGGGCTTACATTTCAAACGACTTTCAGAAATACAGATATGGAAGATAAAAAACAGTTGTTTTCTTACATATAAACCAGGAAAGGGACAGGAGTTGATTTGCATACAAATTGAGAACACATACATTATCTTTACAAATACAAAACACTATTTGTATGTCTGTAAAACCTTCAGCACGAAACACATTTTAACAAGAGGTCCATGAAGAAATTTGATTCTGCAATTCTTGAGGATATCTGCATATTATGACCTATCATGGCCTTGCCTTTCTTGAAAGGGTGGTTTTTAAAGATTTTTCCAATATACTTACATGTACATGTACAAGTTTGATTCCCTAATGCGGCCCCATCCTGCCCCTGTTAACATGATTTAAATAAACTTCAATATGCACAATCTGAGGATGCTTATTTATTAATATCTTTTATAATGGCCCTGCTCTTCTTGTGAATTTTTAAAAATATATTCCCATGCAAAACACTGATCTCTTAATGTAACACCCCCTCTCTTCCCACACACATACCCGTGGGCCATGATTTGAACAAAATTGAATCTGCACTAATCAACTCGTCAATAGGCATAAGCCATATCAGTTTTCCTATCTCAGACATCATCACTGGGATAATACCTTTGCATCCGTTACACCTGACTGCTTTCTTGTCACAAGTACCTGCGTGGAATGAATGACACTTGTTTGTGTTGATTAACTTGACCTTTGTTTACATTTTATTGCAGTTTACATGTATTTGTGTTTGTTTGTACTGACCTAAGCAACAAGTTTCTTTGGTAGATTTCTCTTCTGCCGTGGAAAAAGCACACAATTACTTTTTATCGCTACCAAGAGTTTTACAATAGCTATGTATAATACGTCCGTCAACACCGGTGAAAACTGAATACGCTGAACCGAGACCAAGTGAACGGCTTATATAGAGGCCGTACAGAATAATACGGCGGGAGAAAAACTGAGGTCTCTGCCTTTCATGAATCGTGTTCAGCTTTAATATCGCTAATCATGACTCTGCTGTTTTTGAGAGAAAACTTTTAAGCATTTTTTTTCTTATATTGCTACATGTATGTAAAACGTTGATCCCCTAATGTGGCCCTATCCGACCAACGGGGGCCACGATCTGAACAAACTTGAATGTGAACTACCTGAGGATGCTTCCTTAATATCAGTTATCCTGACTCTGCTATATTTAAGAAGTAGGTTTTAGAAGATTTTGTTCCTATATATTTACATTGAAACTTTCATCCACTTGTACATGCATGTGGCCCCACATTATCGCCGGGTGCCATGATTTGATCTGCACTACCTGAGGATGCTTATAAAATATCACTTAACATGACAGTGCTGTTTAAGAGAAGAAGATTTTTAAACATTTTTCAAATCTATTCCGACGTCAAACTTTAGTTTGATCTCAAATTTATGCCCCACCCTACTTTCGGGGACTATGATTTGAATCAACCTAAATTTACTCCTAAGTTTATCTAAGTCTAGCCCAAAAGTTCGTTAGAAGAAATTTTAAGACATCCACCCTATTTCTGCTTTTTAAAAAATTATCTCCCCTTTTAAGAAGTTGTGGCCCTTTATTTGAACAAACTTGAATCCTGTTCACCAAAGAATGCTTTGGATGAAACTGGTCTTATGGATATAAACAAGAGGTCGAAACGTGAAAAGTTATCGATGACAAAAACGATGACGTCGACAACAACGACAGTCAATGGACAGATTTCGATCAGGAAAGTGCAATTTCAAGAGCCTTTGGCCCAGGTGAGCTAAAAGTGAAATAGTATACTGAGTATATGATTAAATCAGCTCACACCTGTTTCAATCTGAGCCGCAGGGCTTCTATCCAAAATCGGGTCCTCTCCTTCCCTTTGACAATACTTCTTTTCAGTTGTCTCTGCATTCAACAAGGAGGAGACCCACCTCTTCATATCTTCTGGAAAGAAATAATCAAATTTCGGCTTAAAAATCGAAGTACTGAAAGCACTTCAACTCGTGAAAGTTCACATTATTTCAAACAAGTAAGAGAACAGGCAATTGTAACCTTTTCAGCAAAAAACTAAGCACTATGCTAAAGGTTCAAAATGCCCAGCAAACAGAATTTCGTCTTCGCAAGCCAAGGTTTTTTTGAACAGCTTCGCTCCCTACAAACCCTTAACAGATTACGCCATTCATTCCTTCCAAGCTAGATCTTGGAATCTTGGTATGGGTATAGCAACTTCAAATACTGCTTGCTCGGAGTGCTCAAAGTCTTTACAGTTTTTTTCCCTGTTTTAGTGGTCACTCAAAGTTATGGTCAGAAAGTAACTAGAGAATATATAATAGGAAAAACTCAGGTATGAATTTTAAATGATCAGGTATTGATGTTTTAAAGTTTGCAAGTCAATATATTGCTCCAAGTTCTTGGCCTTAGATTTTTTTTTCTATTTTCAGTATTTTGCAACCTGACATAATGATAAAAAAACTCTCTCGGGTACTGTCATAATACGTTTTAAATACACGTATATTCCTAGTGTACTTCCGTTACTTTTACTTAAGGATTTTCCAAGCACTCCCTAACAAGTAAGTACTATAGTTAACTTAAACTTACTATAGTATCAAAGTTTTCACCAAAGTAAATCAGTATATTTTTACTATGGATTTCAGATAATTATATATTAAGTTCGAAAATTCATACATGCACATTTGTGATTATTAAATGGAAATATTATTCGTATATCTCCATATTTAACTTCATTGTTATTGAATTTAAAGATTTAAAATCACAAAAAACGTTCTCAGGTAAAGTTTTAAATCAAAGTATCGAAGTACTTACTATAGTTAACTAAAGTAAACTATAGTTAACTATAGTTAATTTTTGTTAGAGCTAGCTGACTGAATCGTGTTTTTGGGAAGACTTGTGAGTTGCAAATCTATAGTTTCATAGCATAACCGAAGATAGAAATATATGTAGTAGCAATGTTAACTGGTATTTCATATGTAATAATGACACATTTTTAATCCAGAAAGACCATCGGGATAAAATGTGGGTTTTAAAATGTAAAACCCCGCTGACAACATATACGTACTTACCTGCATCAATTATTGCAATGTAGCTCAGTCGGTAGAGTGTTCGCTCCCTGATTGGGAGGTTGTGGGTACGAATCACGGTCGCGACTGAACTAAGTCGATAAAAAATAGGTAGCAACTGTTCCTTCGCCAAGCGCTCGGCACTTTAAAGTGAGTTCAAGTCCTTCGAATGAGACCTTAAAAGCCGAGGCCCCGTGTCACGACAGGCGTTGGCACGATAAAGATCCCCCACTGCCTATTGGCCCTGAGTGCCGAGTAAAGGTCTAAATTTAAAGCCCTTCACTGGTATATGGTGACATCTATCTCTTTATGAGTGAAAAATTCTCGAATGGGATATAAAACAACAGTCAATCAATCGATCAATCTTCCCCAAACTGGAACTCTTCATTACTCCAGTTATAAATTTATGTGAGGGACAATACCCTTAAATTAACCATCTACATTACAACCTTAGAAGAGGAGGTGCATGAGGATGCAGGCAATTATGGATATCTTATAAACAGGGATTTTACATTTAAAACCTCAAAGTCTATTTCGATATCCATTCCAACTTGCATCGACCATTTGCAAGAAAAAAAGGAGGGAAAGGCCATCGATAAAATAAATTTATCATTACCCAGTAGTTAACTCCTCTTCTTTCTCTCCACCCAGTGAGTTGTCTCCAAATCAGATGCTCTGGCAAAGCTGTCTTTTGAACACACATCCTTCAGGTAAAAGAAGGTGGATTCTGTAGCCCAGTGGGGTGCCTGAATAATCTTCATTGGACAAGGCCAATGAAGTAGTAAGACTCCGAGTATCATGTGCTCTTGCATCACCCAGCTTCAAAATTGAAGAGCTTTCATAAACATGTTTTATATCAATAAGTGACAAAATCCATCTTGAAAGAGATGCGTTGTGTTCACCTGATTGGTGTGTTGTAAACATATTTTCCGTAGCCCAATGAAATTCCTTTGATCTCTTTGTATACTTTTCCAAACATCTGCATGGACACAAGTCTTTGTCATCTGTCGCAAAACGGTCAAATTCTGGAATGAACATAGGCTTCCTAGCCTTACTGCAAGTGATCAGGAAGACGAGCAGTTCACTTACTCTTGTCGCCTTTGCCACTGCAATAAGGAACACTATTCCAGCTGAAAAACCTCTAATTGCATATTGCCAAGGGCTCAAATAGAGGGAGGTTAATCCCATAGAGGTAATAAATGTCCAACACAGAGACTGCAGTTTAAAAATATGTTTTGAACAAGCTTCACAAGTCTGCATTTCAACTGACGGACCTGCCTCTTCATTTTCACGCATGATACATGTAGCTACGGCTACTCTGTAACCGGCGACGGTATTTACTATTGACCTTACGGCCTCTTTTCTCAAGAAAATACAAACTCTTCTACAGAGGCTGGATGAGGAGGAAATCGCTTCTGTAAATTGTAAATCTTGTCTGATACATCTGTCTTGAGGCACGACTTGCCTGCTTGATGTACTCTTGAATTTTTGGAGAAAACCTTCTTTTAAAGGAGGCAGGCTTGACATTTTTCATGCTACAAAATCTAGACACTCAGAGTTGACATGTCTTATCTGACCTCTCTTTTTTTGTTAACACGTCAAGGGATATTTTTTTGGAATATCTATCAGAAGTTCTAGTAGAATTGGATACCATGACTGTCTTGGAGAGGATCAAATATCAACACCAACACACATGGTTCTTTCCAAAACTTCTGCAGTACTTGAGGGATTAAAACTGGTGACGGAAATGCATAATCAAACATCCTTTTCTATGGCACACTGAGTGCATTTACTGCCCAAGCTAACTAATCTGGAAAGGGAGAGCAATATACTAGCAACTGTCTGTTCTCGTTCAAACATGTCAATATTTGAAGTAAAGAACCTCTGAAGAATAAGATTCACTATCTCTTGCTTCAGAATCCATTCCGTTATCCGAACCCCCATTCGACCTCGAGGCAGGTCCTCTGCTAAAACATTCTTCTTCCTAGAATGTGAGCAGCCCAAATCAATATTTCCCTCAATTTGCTTCACTAAAGGATCTCCAAGCTAGAGAACACAGTGGGAAGGACTTTTTGTGGTGAAGTATAACACCACACTCGAGTTGTCACATCTCAACAGAACTCTGCTTTTCATCAATTTGTCTTCGAACTCAGAGCTAACTGAGCTGCCCTCATTTCTAACCAATTTATGTGACATTTCTTCTCCTGGGGACTCCAGATGCCTGAAATCTGATAATCATTTAGATGAGTTACCCATCCTCATTTGGTCAAACCATCTGGCTGCTTCTCTTGTATGGTGACTCCCTGAATATTTTTTTCCGGTTGTTACCACCATTCAAGGTGTTGGAGTAATACTTTCTTCATTAGAATAGTTTGAAGTATACTGTCTCTGTGTGGGCGCCGAAAAGACAACAGGTAAAACTGGATTGGCCGCATTGTAAATGACCATTGGAATCAAATCAGTAATCAAAATACCATTAGGTCCAAAAGCCATAAAATGTTCTGAGCTAAAACACTCTCCGGGTCTGATGTTATGGTAATCTACTACTAATTATGGTACCTATCCTCTGAAGGAAAGACAAGACCTCTCTTTGTTTCAAACTCTGAGCCCCAAAAGTGTATAACGAGTGATGGGTTCATGTTGTACTTCTGCGTGTTGACAATTAGACCTAATTCTGAAACAAGTGAAGGATTTCGTCCAAATAACTCAACAACAACGCCCTGTTTGGCTCTTGATCAAGCTGATCGTCTAGATACATGAAAATATGAATTTGTCTCTTCCTAATGAAACTTCTAATAATTGTCATTAAATTGGTAAACAATTTTGATGTTTTGCCAACCCAAATGGCATTGTCTTGAATAGGTAATTCTGGACTTACTAACAAAAAGATATCTGCGGTGTGCTGGAAACTTAGCCACGTGAAGGTAAGCGTCCTTTAGATCTAAAGATAAAACCCAGTCTTTGGGATCTATGGCCCGCATTATATAAACTTATTTTGCATCTCTTATTTCCTCTGCACTTGTGTGCATTACATTAAAATACTTCCAAAGAAACAGATCAGAACCAAATGTTGACAAATTTTGGAACTTTTAACTCAGTAATCTTATTCTTAAAGGGCAGGTCCTGCAAATACAAGATTCGTCTGGCTCTAACAAATGTTACAATAACTCTAGAGGTCCTATAAAACAATTGCAAAGTGCTTGTAGTGCCTCAGTCCTGTCTTCGACTGAATGCACTGAATCTAAGTAAGATGCAATCATTGACCCTGAGAGATCGCATATACTTTACGAAGGATGATGGGATGACTGACTTCGTTTCTCTTTCAAATCTATTTATACCTCCATTATATTAACCTGTCGACTTGTATTAACAGACAGACCTGAGGATCGAGTACCCGAGGGGACAACACTCGGTGGTTTACTTTGTTGAGTAATGAGCCTGATTCTATCGAGAACGGTCATATCCCTGGAACACTGTGCATATTTTTTTCTTGTTTCCATGTGACGATCGTAGGTAAACTCTCCATTAAGACCAAGAAAAAAAGCCGTCAAAAACGGCGGTGCCCGAACATAAACTGAAGTAATAAAGAGTTCAGACTGGGGAGAAAACTCTTACGTTTTTAATGTTCTAGCATGACCGTAGGAGCCTGGGCACATTGCAAATAGTTGATGTAGGTAAGTACATGTATGGATATTGAAATAAACTGAAAACAAATGAAGACACCATACACGCATTTCGGGATCACTCGATGAAAAGTTGAGGACGAAAGTTCCAGATAATTAATTAGTATAACCATACTCCTGGGCCTTGTACGACTTTATAATAGCTAATCATAATTATAGAAACAAAATTGACATTATTATAATGGAAATGTCAATAAGACGTTGGTAATCGGATTACATAAGATACATGTATGCTATCATATCAAGAAAATTGCATACGGATTTTGCAGCATGTATTAAGGACCTTCTACACACTGATGAAAAATGTTTATTGGACTTCATGTAAATTATGGCATGTAAAGGTGTAAATATTAAATTCATACATTTCATTTTTAACATAGGGTACCTCCCATTTTCACAAAGAAATATGCTCAAAGAAACTCCCGATCACTTAAATGAGGAAAATACATGCATATAGAGTATTCAATTCCTCAATCTTGGTCAAATATATAATTTCAAAAAAACTGAAATCAAATACAAATTGTGTAATACCATGTATTGTACAGGTACATCTAAGTGCAGATCACTCTGACTGTGTGACAGTACCTTGGAATTACATGTAAAACCCCTCAGAGCCTCCTTAAAGATAATCCAGACAAGTTCAATTACACACATGAACTTTCTTTGGGATAATTTTGCTTGTAGATCTAACGCGACTCTGAAAATGTTTGTCTTTCATTAAGCAATATAACATTTACTTATCACCTGCATATGGAGTTTATGTCTCCCAGTTGATTCGATACGCAATAATATGCTCTACCTTCAAACAATTTCTTAAATGATGCAAGCTATTGACAAATAGGTTGATGAAACACAACATCAACAGTCTCAAAAAGTCAACATTTCACAAATTCTATGGTCGATACAATGACCTTGTCGGCAAATATAAACTATCATTAACAAATTGATAATTTGTTATAACAAATTAGTATAATTTGTTAAAGAAATTAATAAAAGATACCGCTGCGGCCCTAATACGCTTCCGTAAGATCGAGTAATAATTAGTCAGCCCCCGGGCTGACTAGTTACGGTGGGATGAAACTGCAAGTGCGCTTGCGTAATTTGGAATTCTGGGAAAAAGAGGTACACGACTTGTTCTGAAGAAACTCGTGCTATTTGCTCCAACCAAAGGGCGTGATTCTTCACAAACACCCTCTGAACAAAGACGCGACCTCGATCTATTTATAGACTGCATTGTTCTTCGACGAAAAATTAAAGAAGAGATTGTTCTAAGTGGGAGATATGATACTATGAAAATATTTCAGTGCTTATAGAAGATGAGAAGTTTATATGCAGAGCACATTTAACACTTGATATATATATATATATATATATATATATATATATATATACCCTCAATCGCCGTTGCAAGTTCTCGGATTTGTGTGTATTCCTCTGAATGCCTGATGCAAGACTCCCTCAATCAATACCTTGCATAAGACATGTACGGCTCAGAATTCACACACTGTCAATAATCCACTTGCACAAAGGTCCCAAAACAGTGGGAAAAAAAAGAATCTCTTTTTCACTTTAATGATGAAAGTTATGAAAACATCAGAAGATCACTTAAGATGTGTAAAGTTTTATAATTTACACGATGATAGACATGTACGTGCCGCTTGTGCACGTGAACCGCGCCCACAGGTGAGAAACTGACCACAGTAGAACTGCGATAGTTGAGAGAAACTGCGCGGATTTATAGACAGCCCCCCCCTCCTCCAATTAGAGAGAATGAGCGAGATGGAATCCAGCATCATTTTAGGGTGTACGTACAGTATGTATGAAATATTTTGAATTTCCAGTTTATTGCTTTATTTTGGAAGCAATTCTTTTCTTTCCTAATAACACTGAAATGAATGTTTAAATTTAGAAATTGAATTATATATACATACAGTATGCACCCCTCCCCCTTCCCCTATCATGCATTGCCTCGAACCTGCACGATTAAAAACTTTTATCTAATAATAATTAACACAACCTAACCCAAGGTCTACCTTCCTTTTAAGCATCATAATCTATATACATTTATAGAATTTAACAGTAAAATTGAAAATGTATACATTCTTCAACGTTCAATGATTGGGATCATAGTGGCTTTCTTCATTTCTGCTCAAGACGAACTTTATCTGATGTCCGCGCCCAAGAGAAATTAATTGGAGGTAATCATAAAGAACACGATGTAACCTAACTAAAATTTATTCTATGCTTTATTATTTATTATGTACAGCATTATGTTACAAATAAGAAAACGACTGGGCAAATTTTAACTTAGACGACAATGACTTTTAATGAACACAACATGATGGATAAAACAAATCATATACCATCACAAAACAAGATAGAAACTTTCTGTATTCCAGTGGCTGACTCTCAGCTTTTTTTTAAAAAGCTAACCTTGTTATTCATAAATTTAATGTTTAGCTAAAGTCATGTCTATCTCGGTGTTGACATAATCTATAACATTTACGTATACATGATGAATACAAACACATTCCATAGCAATACGCGATCCTTGAGATTTCGTATCTTCCATTGATTGCACAGACGAAATTGTTCGATACAAATCTATAAACTGATACAGAGATCTATACAAACATGTGGGTGTGTCACAGTAGAAATAGTCTACAATTATACACAGCTGATATATATTTAGAGTTTGTACTTAGATACCCTGAAAAACATCTTGATCCGCGCCTTCATCTAGTTTGCCTGCATAATAAAGGTGTTAATCGAAATAGATTGGGAAATCGTTCAGCCGATTGAGCAAATACTGGAATATTGCGACATGTTTAACTCAACCACTATAGTGCGTTGTATTTTTTGAAGGAAAAAATCAATTGGTGTATCTATTCCTAACAGAACAGTGACAGCAATTAATGCGCCGATAATAATCGTTGGGTATAGTTAATTCAAACTAAGCATGTAACTATGAACTTACCGGAGAAAGTAACCAGATAAACTGAGGAAAAGTCAGACATACCTCATAAGGGTCGATCTCTGCTGACCGGATAAGTGAATCCGTGTTCTTTTGGTTTAAGTCCTGCTCAGGTTCAGCCTACTCAATATTCAGATATTGGGACTTCCTGATGAATTTTCTTCTCAGTTACTAAGTCAGTGTAGTTCACAAACACATGAATTAAACATTATTTGGTTGATTTTTCTTAGCCTGCACAAGCGTGAAAAATGCGGTCGTTACTATTAATATCTTGGTCAGAGGTTTATCTTAATTCCTCTTCTTGCACACGACGTTTCGAAACAACACGTGTGAAAACAGGAAATATTGACAGAAAGAGAGAGAAGTACTGAACATCTGTGAGAGCCTCAATGACAACATACACATGTACTGAATTTTGTTAATGAGAAAAGGCTTCAAATAATGAGATCTTTCATTTAGGTTATTGATCTTACTTATAATATTACTTACATGTACAGTCCAGACCCGTGGACAGGGGGAGGGCCTTGCCCCCAATTATTTTGCCAACATTTTATTCAGAAGAAAACGAAGCTGCTTTATGGCTGTGCCCCTCATTAATCAGGTCTAATGACCTTATCTTTCCTTTTTTCTTTTCTTTTCCTTCTCAAGGAATTTTTGTTTGCCCCCTCCTTCCCAAACTGAAATTGTCTCCGACGGGTGAGCAGCTATGATTCATTTTATGTTACAAAAGTAAAATGAAGCTTTACACAAAAATAAGTCTCTCTTTGCTACCTTTTTTTTTTTTTTTAAAAAAAAAAAGAACTATGAAAATGTTTATTGAATTCCGTTGATTTGTATATATTTCTCTCATTTCTGTACATATACAGGTATCAGTTCTATGAGAAATTGAGAAGACTATTTCAATATTCTTGATGTTTCAATCTTACCTTTAATTGCGTTCATTCTAAGGCGGTTGTCCACACCCTTAATTTATTTTTATACTCCCTAAGATTCGGGAGCATTTAGTTTTTGCCCTATCCGTCTGTCTGTCTGTCTTTTTGTCCACAAAAAACTTTAACCTTGGCCATAACTTTTGATTGGTTGGACCAATGGTTTTCATATATCACACGTGTAGTCTTTGTGACAAGACCTTTCGTTGGGTACCATCTTATTTGACCTCTAGACCTTGGAGTTTGACCAACTTTTTAAAAATTTTACCACACTTTAACCTTGCATGGCCATAACTTTTGAATGGTTAATGTTAGGGCTTTCACACTTTACAGGTATATTCCTTGTGATAAGATCTTTCCTTGGGTACAAACATTTTGACCTCTTGACCTTTGAGTTTGATCCACTTTACAAAAACTTTAACCTTGGTCATAACTTTTGAACAGTTGGTATTAGGGCTATCATATTTCACAGGTGTATTCCTTGTGACAAAACCTTCCCTTGGGTACCCACGATTTTCACCCTTTGACCTTGATCTTAGAGTTTGACATACTTTTGAAAAACTTTAACCTTGGCCATAACTTTTGAATTGTTGGTACTACGGCTTTCATATTTCACATGTATATTCCTTGAGACAAGGTTTTTGCTTGGGTTTCAAGAATTTTGACACTGACCTTGGAGTTTGACCTTTTTTTTTTGAAAAACTTTAACCTTGGCGATACTTTTGAATGGTTCATACTAGGGCTTTCATATTTTTCACGTATGTTTTCCTTGTGACAAGGTCTGCCCTTGAGTACCAATGAAATATATGGAGATAACGAACAGTATTCAAGCTCAAAAGTCCATTATACAATACAAAATAGGAGCAGAGCAAACACGGACCTCCAAACATCAGAGGTGGGATCAGGTGCCATGGAGGAGTGAGCATCCCCTGCCGACCGGTCACGCCCGCCGTGTGCTCCTTGTCATGATCGGGAAATAACGGAAAAATCCGTCGACAATGCAGTGTGTAAATAATGGTCTAACAATTAGTATGAAAAACGTCAGTCAATTTTGACTTGTTTACCTTGACTTTGGGAGTTTGACTTGCATATGAGAAACATTAACTTCGCCATGAGCTGCCATATAGGGGCATCAGTGTTTCACAAACACATCTTGTTTTTTTTTCTGTATAGCTCTCATATTATTATATCCAGTGTTTGCAAATCAAGTGAACGTTGTCCTACAGGAAGATATAATTAAAAATATAAAAATCATTTATTTGGTGTGGGGTGACAGTGAGCTGTACGAAGTTCAGAATTTGAAAGTCGGTCTAGAAAGGAAAGAAATGAAAACATAAGTACATGTTTGTGTCTATTGCCCACCGTAAGTATATGTACATAGGTACATGTTTGTGTCTATTGCCCACCATTAGTACATGTACATAGGTACATGTTTGTGTCTATAGGTACATGTCTGTGTCTATAGGTACATGATTGTGTCTATAGGTACATATTTGTGTCTATAGGTACATGTTTGTGTCTATTGCCCACCATTAATACATGTACATAGGTGCATGTTTGTGTCTATAGGTACATATTTGTGTCTATAGGTACATGTCTGTGTCTATAGGTACATGTTTGTGTCTATAGGTACATGTTTGCGTATATAGGTACATGTCTGTGTCTATAGGTACATGTTTGTGTCTATAGGTACATGTTTGTGTCTATAGGTACATATTTGTGTCTATAGGTACATGTTTGTGTCTATAGGTACATATTTGTGTCTATAGGTACATGTTTGTGTCTATTGCCCACCATTAATACATGTACATAGGTGCATGTTTGTGTCTATAGGTACATATTTGTGTCTATAGGTACATGTTTGTGTCTATAGGTACATGTTTGTGTCTATAGGTACATATTTGTGTCTATAGGTACATGTTTGTGTCTATAGGTACATATTTGTGTCTATAGGTACATGTTTGTGTCTATTACCTACCATAGGTTTCTTTTGAATACTCTGAGATATCCAGTGGGTTTTTATTCCTCCAGAAATACGAGTTAATTTAAGTGTCGACAATTTCGCTTTTCAATATATTTACTTTAAATAATTTTCTAAACGTAAATATGAATGATTGAATATAATTTTATATTTCAAATTTTTATACAAATGTATATATATTAACTGGAGATCCGTAGCTCGCTCGTTGAAAAAAATTGGGATGGACGACCGGCTACAGATCTGTATATATATGTTATGTTTAAAATACAAGGGTACTAAAATCTGTACATAGTCAGCTGAAAATGCGAATGTCATACACTCATTTTGGAGGTACAAAGGTTTTTTCTCCGGGGTTGGGTTGAGGGTTCCACATCAACTCTAACAGATGTATGATTCGGAATTTTTTGGACAAGCAAAATTAAAAAAAAAAACAAAACATAGTCAATTCCCCCAGACCTGGTATTGGGGGTGGGTTGGGGGGGGGGGGGGGTGGGTAGAAGAAGACACTTTCCTAAATCATTTTTTTTTTCAGATACATAATATCCTTATTTTAAGAGGGATTCGTTTTTCCTAGGGGGTCCACCCCCCCCCCCCACCTCCAATCAAATCATGATCCATATCTACATTTAAAGAGTACATATTTCAAAAACAATAATATATACAGGTCACTATCTTTTTGATCTCAATACACTGCATTCTGCACCGTCAGAAAAGCAGTGGTAAATTCAAATTATGGGGGTGTACTTACCCACCCACCCTGAATTTTTTTTGCCCAAAAAATGTCCTGCTTCAGTGTGTTCGAAGTATTACATTAAGATAAAAGAAGTTTAACCCACAGAATAGACGCCACCGTTATTCCGCTGTTTTTTTTTTAATAATGAAATTTAATTTGCCTCTTTAACAATTAATACGCTGGTCTCGAGCATAGATAGCTGCTTAGTCTAGGCTTAATATTTTTCTCTTGAAAATCGATAGAGAGAAAGCTATTTTGGTCTACCTATCAGAAACCCTACTTTACTGAACATTTCGTCTTCAATAATTAAACACGCAATATTGTTTGCACTGTGCATTTTATTTACCGTCACTGTGTGGGGCCATTCATATTAATTTTTACTAACTTGTTGCACAGAATGAAAGATCCTAATTAATTCTGGCTATATTTGTCAGGGAGTGTTCCTTTATATTTTACTTCAACTTACTTTTCATATACAATAGTTGCATTATAAGAATGTATTAAATCCCTAAGATTTAAATGATCACTTAACGATGTGTCTGCGTGTGTGTGAGGGTCTCTCTCTCTCTTTGTGTGTGTAAATAATTATTTATGGCATGCTGTAAATTCTGAATATACCGGGTGGCAGTAAATTCAGAATTTACAACACATCTCTATTATAACAGAGATTGAAGTTACAAGCATGAGGAATTATTAATTAAAACATTCATATGTTTGCACATTTACTTTCTTGAGACGATGTTTAAAAACAAGAGTCCCAGGGGCCACATCGCTCAACTGAGCACTTTGGCTAGGAAAAAGCAGAAATCAGTTCAGTATTGAAAAGTTTAAATATAAAAGTGGTTCGGGGGGTTATGATTTGAACAAACTTGAATCTACACTTCCTAAGGATGCTTTTGAATTAATATGATACATAATGGGTTTGCTGTTCTTTAGATGAAATTTTTTATTGATATAGCCTTTATATTCCTTTGTATAACTATGATCCCCTGTTATGGCCCCTCTATTCACCTGGGGGTCATGGTTTGAACAAATTTAAATCAACATTACCCGAGGATGCTTTTATATTATTATGACCAATCATGGCTTTGCTGTTTTTGAGAAGAAGATTTTTAAAAAGAATTTCCTATGTAAAATTTGATCAACCCTTGTGGCCCCATCCTACCCCGGGGGTCATGATTTGAACAAACTTGAATCTACACTACCTGAGGATGCTTCCATATAAATATATATCTTATCATGGCTTTGCTGTTCTTGAGAAGATTTTTAAAGATTTTTCCTATGTATTCCTATGTAAAAATTTGATCTTCTACTGTGGCCCCACCCTACCCCCGGGGGTCATGATATGAGCAAACTTCAATCTACATTACCTGAGGATGCTTCCCTATAAATATGACTAATCACAACTTTGCTGTTCTCGAGAAGATTTTAAAAGATTGTTCCTGTGTATTTCTATGTAGAGCTGTGATTGCCTATTGTGGCTCCACCCTACCCCCGGGAGTCATGATTTTAACAAACTTGAATCTAAACTACCTGACGATGCTTCCATATAAATATGACCAATCATGGCTTTGATGTTCTTTAGAAGATGA